GGTGCACTCCGTATTCCTTACTACCCGCCGACCTGTAAAGAAGAAATAATATTTCAGYGTTTTGCGTTGTTTGCGTGAGGTTATTTGTAAAAAGATACCGGAATTATGGACGGACAGCTCTTGGTTTTTGCACTATGAAAATGTGACGTCTYATATTACAATGATTCCCCGCGAGTTTTCGTCAAAATTTCAACCAATGTCGTACCGCAAGCACTGCATTCACCTGATTTTGTCGTCAAATGACTTCTGGGTATTCAGTACACTCAGACGATCGCTCCGGGGAAACCGCTTTCAGCCAATTGAAAACAGTAAACGTGCATCGTTACAAGTGTTGCAGTCTAATAGAAGAGAAATAGAAGAATAGAAARTTAATAATTCTATSACAATATAATTCATTTCATTTATCGTCACCTAAARGGCAAAATAACGTATTATTTTTATTTTTCGTAAATTTCCAGGCGAAGAAAACCCTATTTAATATAAGCTACTCATATTGAAACAAAATTTAAGTTGTGGTTATAAAATGTTTATATATTGGTTATATAGCGGTTATGTATTGGTTATAAAATGGTTATATATTGGTTATATCTGACAGCGAAAGCTGAAAATATATTGCCACATAAATGTAATATGATCTAGTGAATCGTAGGCAATTAAAAACTCAATTTCGATTTTTTTGATGGTACGTGGCTTTGCATTTTAGGTGACGATCTGTTTCTTATTTGTTTCATATGTTCTGCAAATTCTCTCTTTAACCTTTTTTTAACCTAACTTAATACCACATGCTTATATTTTTCAGAAACGATTTTATCAAGCACGGTGTGGGGACACACAGAAGAACTACATTTTCGCGAGGATCGCTTGTGAGACTTCGCTGCTGTTGTTGAGCCGCCGCCGGGGCGTCTGCTTGCTCGGTGCTCGCTATCTGTGCGGCTGGGTTTCGTCTATTCTGTTGTTGTTGCGCTTGAAAATGGTGCTGTGCCGGGCGGCGGGCCACCCGACGATGATCCACCTGTCGCCATTGACCGCCGCAAGCACTAACTTAAGGAATTAACTATGCGTCCTGTCGCCGCACACTCACTTTCGCATCCTTCATTACAACATCATTTGCGCTCAACTATAACCTTCATTTACTTACACTCATTACTTCAGCGCCGCTAGTTGAATCGCTCAAAAAAAACACCATAAAAGAGCAAAGGCTGTCACTGTATAGAAAGGATAACGCGGCGCAGCGGCCAAGCGGAAAAATACAATAATGATATCCGGCGAATGGTGGAGATGACGCAATTGCGCAAATRAAATGAACAAACAAAAGCAAAAGAAATTAAAATAAAATTTAAATGCATTGGAAAGCGGAAGCAGTGCAAAAKCACAACAACAGCAACAGCAYAGCGGTCAAGTTARTGCGAACGCTAGCTGCGAATTGCGAATTCGGTATTGTGAACTTTCRCACGAGCGAGTTTCCAATGCAATGSCCTTTTAACCTGTGCTCGCATGCAGCTCTACTTTGTTAACATTTCCACTGCGCCGCCAACAACAATTTATTGTTGCTGCGCATTTTAATCTCACTTAAACGTTGGTCTGCTTGGCTTAAGTTGTCTTAATGCACGAGTCTGCTTTACTCTTCTTGCTGGCAGTTTCGAAAATGGATTAAAAAATTATTTGAAAAGTGAAAAACTTTTTCAACACGCCACCGCAGTTTAGGGTGCGCACACCCTTGTATTTTTCTACGGAAATAAAAATTAAAAATAACAAAAGCGCACAGAAAAAAGGTGGATAATGATAAGCGCGCTCAAGCAATTTGACAGGGGCTGTAGCAGCAAAATAGAAAAACAAAACTAAAGGGGATTGTGAAGGGGGCTACAGATATTTATGTAGATAAATATGCATAAAAGATTGTATTAAAGCGCGTTGAACGCGGGTTAAAATGTTATAATTTTTTTTGGTTTTATTTTTACTCACTTTTTTTTGTTTTTTTTTTTTTGTTAAAATGTTATAATTTTTTTTGGTTTTATTTTTACTCACTTTTTTTTGTTTTTTTTTTTTTGACTTACTTGAGCTCCCTTTTAGATAACATTTTTATACCCTGAATAAGTAAGCCACGATGTCTGCAATGTACAGTATGAGAAGTTGGAGACCATATAAAATGTAGCCATAAATGATCAGCGTGACTGGCTGAGTCGGTCTCTCCGTCCATCTGTGAATAACTACTGCAATGAATCTCTCAGTTTTTGAGATATCGTTCTGAAATTGCGTACACCTTCTTTTCTCCCCAAAGAGCTACAAATTTGTCGATATCGGATCACTATAGCATATAGTCTCCATACAAACTGAAGGATTGGAATCTAGAGCTTGTATGGAAAAGTTTTTTAATTGAAGAGATATCTACACGAACTTTTGCCTAAATTATTTTCCAAACCAACCATACGATAATTAAAAAAATTTCCGAGATAAGACCATTAAACCATATAGCTGCCATACAAAGTGGATGGTCAGTATCATGTCCTTGTATGGAAAACTTTTGTATTTGGCGAGGTATCTTCATAAAATTTGGCACATGTTATTGTACCAAGCAGGCCTATAATATCTAAAGAAATTATGCAGATCGAAATACTATAGCATATAGCCGCCATACAAACTGTTCCAAAAAATCAAATTCTTTAAAGAATGCCTTTTTTTTGTGAAGGGTATTATAGCGTCGGTACAAGCGTAGTTAACGTTTCTCTTTGTTTTTTCTTTTTTACAATATTTTTTTTTTTTTTGTTTTTGTTCTCTATGCCTTTTTCCTTATTTTTTCATTTTTATCAGCGCTTTGACATTTTTTCTATGCTTTTGTTCGCGTGTGAGCGCTACGCCAGTAATGATTAAATTTACTTATCTGACTTTTTGGTTAAGCAGWTATTTTTTGTTTTTATTGCAATTTTGTTGAGCTTGTTTTCATTTCCTTTTGCCCTTGCTGCCGGCATTGGCTGCTTAAACTTAAAGAAATTAATTTGCATTTAAATGAAACTCAAACTGTCCACTTTTTAGTATATAAAAATAAAAAAAATAAAAAAGGAAAAAAAATAAAGTATTTTTTTTAGGGTTCCAAAAAAGGCAGAATGCCGCAGGGGGAGTATATCGCAAATATAACCAGCTACAATGTGTTGACACTTAAAATGCGTTGAGTTGTTTGCCTGCCTGAATTAATTCTTTTAAAGCGGATGAAGTTATGAGAAATTTTTAGAGTCTCTGAGTAAAAGCTATATTCAGACTGTATTGATTCTATATAGAAAAGAGAAGAAATTTCAAATGCTTGTCAGTTTTCGATGCTGCAGAGTACAGCTAAGGACATTTATAAGTTTTTGGTGTAATTCGGTAATTCGTAGCAGACTTTGCTTTTTTTTAAGCTCAGTCCGAGGAATTGTTTGCAACATTGCATGACGATGCATGAACTCATTGCAATACATAGAGACAAAAAACTGTCAAAAAAGCAGGCTGAAGCTTCTCTTAAGAAGATGAAGACTGTTTTATCAGCCGGAAAGCGCAGTCAGTGTTATCTCAAAGTCAGAAGAAGGGATTAACATCAACTGGCTGCACCGAAAAAAAACGAAGACAGAGCTTCACAGCCGAATTGGAGCTTATATCGAGGCACAAAATGACTAATTTCAGCACAGTTCATAGATAAGGACAAGAAGGCTTAATAACAAAATAATAGTTTTTCGTGCTTTTCATAAATAATGAAGTGGTGTCTAAAAGGTAATGGATACGTCATTATTATATTTTTATATTTTTGTACTTACTGAGAAAACTTACTACAGTAGTGTATATATTTTTCATGCCAGCAGAAAGTAGAGRTCTCAACAAACACAAAGCTTACTGACTTTTTATAAAAAATACTTTTTTGTCTATGGATGTCTATAGGATGTTTCATGGGCTTACGGGTTGCCAAAAATCGAATCGAAACCTTCTTYGTTAATACTTGAGGGTTTCAAAACCTGTCATAAAGCATCGTAAGGTCGTAAAATTATAAATTTTTACACTTGTCTAAAAGACATGTTGTTGGATTACATAAAAAATGAGTTTACACAATTACAATTTTCAATGCTTTGTTTTCGAATCGTTATAAATTCAAACTTTATGAGACTATATAAAGCCCCTAAGTGTATGTTTGTAACAATAAAAAATTCTAAAAAAATATTTAATTTTGTTTTCATTGTTATCTCATTTGCTTATTATTTTTTTAAATAGATTGCAAATAAAAAAATAAAAAATTTTTTCTATGCGAAAAAAAAAATTTTAAAAGGCTGTTTTGTAACCGAGGAAACCCATTTAACCACTTAAACAGTTAYAGTGTATTCGGGACGTAATAAAGTAAGTTTACACAAAATTTTGTGAAAAAATAACTTTTTTTTTTCGTAGAAAATAAAAAATATCCAAAACTTGCATATTTAATTTTTTTACATAGTTTTTGAGATTATGTGAAGAAGTTGTTCATACAAAACTTGTGCATATTTTCATTACCTAGAACTTTAATTTAAAGTTTTTTTCTTTTAGAACACGTACTTTTCGAAATCGATATATCCTTTTACTTTACAACACTTCAACCGCACCCTTTATCTTCCTCTGCCCGAACTCACGAGGCCTTCAATAATTTTTACTTTAGTTACTGGGTTTCTAACTTTCATTTTCAATGGGGTTCATTCAACTATGATTTTTTCTACTCTCAAGCATTATCTAATCTGATGTACAATGGAAAATAGCAAGCTTAATTTTTTCATCAAAAGTTTTCCAAATGATCTGAAAAATCAATATCTACTTTAGTGACAACTCCACAAACATAATTTTGTAAGCTTTTACACACAATCAACCACAGCTTCGGACATAAATATGGTTTTAAACTCATAAGTGAAATTTCCTGTACGCACGTTTTGCACACAAAAGATTGGCAACTACAACRAACTTGCCTAATGGGAAATGCTAAGGCACATGTATGCACGGAAATGCATACAAACACACCAACTTCTAAGTTAAATAACTATTTAGGTAGTTATATGAAATATGCAAACTCGACAATAGCACGAAAAGCCGCAGCCACAAGCAGCGCACTCAATATTTAAATAATTTTTCCAATATTCGCTGGCAATTGGGAAATGCGAGCATAAATAACTTTGCGAAAAACCACTTAACCGCACAAACACTCCAGCACGCGCACACRCAAGCAAGGACACGGCACTACGTGTTTATGGATGAGTGACGTCGTGTGTGTGCGCGCACTTCCGACGGCTGTGCCGAAAATGTCAATTTTATAAACCAAGCAATGCGCTAAAGCGCCTACAAACGAGCACCAGCCGCAGTT